TGGATGACTCTGGGACACCCATCCCATGCAGCCATATCCCTGCAAAGGCAGGTCAGGAGAGAGGGGGACGCTGCTGCGCCAGCACTTGGGGACCCAGGGACTCCGGGTGTTTATTTATTCAGGGCTCTGGAGTCTGGTCCTTCCTGCTCCCACAGGGGACCTGCTCCTCCCGGCTCCCAGCGCAGGACATCAACACTGGATTGCTTCCTAAGGACAACTGGAAAACAGGGTCTGTGCACATCGCTGTGCGCTCACGGCTTATGGACATTGAACTCTCAGAGTACCTCTGATCTCTTGAGATACATCTTTGATTTATATTTCTTAATATCTTTGGCATTTATTTTGGTCTTTATTATTATTATTTGCAAATAAACCCCCCGATTGGTGAAATGCTGTTTGCACTCTCTCGCTTTGTATTTTGACTTTTCCTATCCACAGTTGGTATCTGAGCAGCAAAACCTGATCCAAAGCAAAACCAAATATACAAACCCCAAACCAGGCAATACTAGTAGTTAAACCAGAAAGATAATCACCTTGTGGTCCAAGCCTGGGCTGCATCACAGAATCCCAGCCTGGTTTGGGTTGGAAGGGACCTTAAAGCTCCTCCAGCTCCAGCCCCTGCCCCGGGCAGGGACACCTTCCACTAGAGCAGGTTGCTCCAAGCCCCTGTGTCCAACCTGGCCTTGAACACTGCCAGGGATGGGGCAGCCACAGCTCCTCTGGGCACCCTGTGCCAGCGCCTCAGCACCCTCACAGGGAAGAGCTTCTGCCCAAGAGCTCATCTCAGTCTCCCCTCTGGCAGGTTAAAGCTGTTCCCTTTGTCCTGTCCCTTGTAAAAAGTCCCTCTGCAGAGTTCTTGTAGGGTCTCTTTAGGTATTAGAAGACTGTTAAAGATCTCCCTGGGGCCTTCTCTTCTCCAGGCTGAACAAGCCCATCTCTCTCAGCATCTTTGTGGCCTCCTCTGGATCCATTGCAGGTGAGCATCCCTCCAAGGCAGCAAACACTGCTCCCCTCTCCTCTCACCCAAACGCCCACCTCGGAAGCATTTTGACCCCCAAAAGGATAAGCTCACTTAGGCACCCACCACAAAAGCTCAGGGGTGATTTGCCAGCAAGAAAGCAACAGGGGGACAAAAGAGGGGGCTGAGGTTTGGCCGTGACCCCACGGATCCACGGGGAAGGGTGTCCTGAGCAAGAGGGAGAAGCAAGCAGCCGGGAAGTCCGTGGGAGCCAAGACACCACCGAAGGGCGTAGACTCCTGCCAGGGATCTCCAATCAGGCCCGGGAGGTTTGGCTGCCTGCCCTATAAGTGCAGAGCCGGGAGGGTGGGAAGCCCGCGAGCCTCTGGGCAGGGAGAGGAAGAGGAGCATGAGCACCAGGGTGCTCCCCGCAAGGAGGCAGAGGGCGGCCGGCAGCAGCCCGGCAGGGATGAGCTGCACCCCGGCAGCAGCCCAGCACACCGTGCCCATCGCCTCCAGGCCCCGGACATCCTTCCTCATCCAAGACATCCTCTGGGATGGGGCAGAACAGGGAGCACAGCCGGAGAGGGGCAAGAGCAGAGGATTTGACAGCCAGGATGGGGAGCCAGGGGCAGCCGCAGTGGAGGGGAGCAAGGGCAGTTCTGCCCTGGGAGCTGTCCCAGGGCATCCCACCAGGAGCCCTCATCCCCCAGAAGCATCCCAAGCCCGAGGGACACCCCACGAGGCAGACACAGGTAAGGGGGTGGAAGCTCCTGGCTGGGGAATGGGTCAGCAATGGTTGTGCTTGGGTTAGGGATAACCCTCTGCACGGGGCAGGATCCAGACCCGGGTGCTGGAGCCAAATAACCTGTGCTTTAAATACCATGAGTACCTGTGCTCTAGGAGTGGGGAAGGAAGAGGGATAGCAGCAGTGTAACAGCAAACCTTCCAGCGGGTGCTTCAGATAGCTCAAAGGACTGAATGTGCCTGAAGTGCCATTTAGAAGTAAACCCCAATTGATGCATTTCTATGATTTCTTGGGAAATAAAGTTCCCTTCTATGCAGGAGGTGCCCAGCAAAGGCACCGTGAGCTGCCAGCCCAGAGAGGCAGTTTGTGCCCATCCTTGATGCCACCACAACAGAGCTCATGGGTGCCTCTGGTCCTCTAAACATTCCCGTGTTGGATTTGTGCTGTTTGAAGCTGGGGTCAGCTTTTCTGTGTGCTCAGCCCTGATTTCCCAGCCTTTACCCCCATATTTAGCAGGTTTATTAACAGTGACCTGCTCCTCTCGCCACAGCATCCCTTCCTAGCACCTAACTCCCAGATTCCTCGCAGGAACAACATTTCACTGCGGAAGCAACACACCGAAAACCACATTCGGAAGCAAATCCTTTTGCCTGGTGCCTCTCGTGTTGCAGCAACACGAGCACGGCCGGGGCTGCGGGAGGGGATTTGGCCTTTCCTTGTCCAAGCAGCCCTTGGGCTGAGCTGCACCAGCCAAAAAGGCAGCTTTGAGCTCTCTAGTGACTGGTTTACGACAGCCCTTGCCAGGGGAATGTTGGTTTTATGTCTCAGTGCTGCGAGAAGCAGTTTCTACATAAAAAGCCCGTTCAGAAACAGCCACCAGGCAGGGGCTTGCGAGACTCACTAGAAGCTGCACCAGATCTCCCACAAAGCTACTTGTGTAAATGAGAGCAGCTCCGGGGATTTCAGTGGGACAAGCGGGATTTACAGGCGCTGGGGGTTAAGCCCGATGTGTCCATCCGAGCGCTGTGCTCACGTCTTAGGAAAACAGACTAAGAAATAACTAAAGGGAAAAAACCCAATTGGTCTATTTCCACCCCAAGCTGGGGAAAAAGGAGCTCACTGCACAACTAAAGTGGCTTGGGAAGGTTTAACAGTTATATGTGACGCTTCCCAGGGAGCTCAGCACCTTTGTGGGTCATGGCTCAAGTGCCCTAAGAAATAAGCTGGAGGCAAACACTGAGATGCTGCTTTGGACCAGCAACCCATGGCCAGGTCTGCAGTTACAGTAAAACCAGGCCTGGAGGTTTAAAAGTCTGCCCTAAAATTTCTTGCCATTGCCTTGGAACTGTGAGAGTGAACAGGGAGGGATTTATCTCCAACGCTTTCTCACTGCAGCCCGCTCTCGGCTGCCCCATTTCTGGGCCGACCTTTGTAACTTTAGGACAGAAACTTGTTCTCTTTGGGGGAATCAGGATTTTCCCATAGGTACAGGAGGACATTCAAACAAGCGCCTTCATAGTATGAACTCCACAATAAGGATCTGCAGAGCTGTTGATGCCTCACTGTACACAGCAATAGTGCTGAGGCAGACCTCCACCACCCCTGCGAAACAGCTCCGAATTTATTTGACTTGAATGTATATTCATATTGAATGGCAGGGATGGGGCAGCCACAGCTTCTCTGGGCCTGCACCCCCCAGAGCTACTGAATGTGCTTTTCCCTGTGCCAGCGCCTCAGCACCCTCACAGGGAAGAGCTTCTGCCCCAGAGCTCATCTCAGTGTCCCCACTGGCAGGTTAAAGCCATTCCCCTCATCCTGTCCTTGTCCAGAGCCTCTCTCCAGGGACACACATCACTATTTCTAGCTCCGGAAGGGGAAAATCAAGGGATCGGGGCTCTTCCAAGCAGGTAATTCCCATCTCTTTGCTCCACAGAGGCCACAGCGGAGCCGCAGCCCCTGCCCACCGCCCCGTGTCCCCCCAGGCAGGCGAAGCGCTCGCGGGCGGCGTTTTCCCACAGCCAGGTGATGGAACTGGAGAGGAAATTCAGCCACCAGAGGTACCTGTCTGCCCCCGAGCGCGCCCGCCTGGCCCGGCGCCTGCAGCTCACCGAGACCCAGGTCAAGATCTGGTTCCAGAACAGGAGGTATAAAACCAAACGGAAACAGGTCGGCTCCGGAATCACCAGACTGGACACGCAGAAGGCGGCCGAGCTGCGCGGAGCATCGCTGCTGGCGCTGCGGGGCGGGGCCCTGCCTCTACTACCTGCGTGGCTGGAGCCCTGCGTGGTAGTAGCTGCTTGTTGTAAGCAGAAAGCATCCTTTTCCCTTAAACGTGGTGGGGGGTTTAATACTGCATTGCTTTTTCTAGTGTAATTAAGACCCCGCTCGCGGTAATGATCAGCATCCCGTTGCTGTATAAGCCTCTTATTGCTAACAGAAGAAGAACCTAAAAAAAAGCCTCAACCCCACCCCTCCTACCCCCAAGATTTTAATTCAGCGCATTTGATAGCACTGTTATGAGGTGGAACTGCAGCTTTTGGGGGGGCAGAAAGGGATGGTCCAGCCCTGGAGACAGCAATGAACCCTCTCTGCAGCTCCAAGATCGCCTGTGCCCACCAAGAGGGCAAAAGGAAAACTGCAGACCCTGGGCTGGCACCGATTCCTGGAATGGTTTGGGCTGGAAGGGACCTTAAAGCTCCTCCAGCTCCAACCCCTGCCAAGGGCAGGGACACCTTCCCCTAGAGCAGGTTGCTCCAAGCCCCCATCCAACACTGCCAGGGATGAGGCAGCCACAGCTTCTCAGGGGGTATTGGCTCCAGCTCGGCCACTTGGGCCAAGCATGTTCTAAGAATTAGACTTAAAAAAATCATAAAAAGCAAGAAAAATGCATTTCTGCCATGGATACCAACATGGCTCATGGTCCCAGAAGGGACATAGACCCCCCCCAGGACTTCTGCTTGCTGTCAGGCAGTGCTACAGCCTCCACGCCGGGTAACTCATGCGGCTTTTGGGATGAACTAATCCCCTTTCTGCTATGAGCGACAGCAACCTGAGGTGCCCGCTGGCCCCAGCTCACCCCCACCCAAACCCATCCCTCTGGCCTTTGGACGCCGAGATGCCAACTGCTGCTGCTTGCGCCTTGAGAAGCCAAACCAGCACCCTGGGGAACAGGGACAATAGCGCAGTGACAGACGAGTTTTGCATATCCGGGTGTTGCTGCTGTTTGAACAGTCCATATAAGCTATTTAAAACAGCAACAGCTCCAAGAGCTCAGCGCTCCCGTCAGCTTCCAAAGCAGCAAACTCCCTGTTGGCCACTGAAATCGGCTCGAACCCAGCACCAGGACATCAGGACAGCAAGAGGACGAGATCTTTACAAGTGATTTCTTAGTGAGACAACAACTTGCTCTGGCAGAGTAGCAAAGATTGGGGGTTTTTTTTGCAACCAATTGTACATAAAACCTGAGACGTCACTAAACTCATGGGAGAAAGTGTAAAAATGAATGAGATTTCCAAGAGAAGAAACATCAAGTGCTTTTTCTCACTAGTGTAGATCAGCAAAGCTCTGCTGGAACACACAGAATCCTCTGGAACAAAACATAAGTGGAGGTTTCTTCCCTGTGAACCACCAGGAATGTCCCTGCGGTGCCTGTTCTTTCTGACAGAGAATTAAAAATCACACTGGGAAATACAGACAATTAAACAAGAACCTGCTTAGATCTGCCCCTTTAAACACGATTATTTGGCGACTGATCTTTTGCCTTGCCAAGAGGCTCAGGTGGTGCAAGCTCGCAAAGATGAAGCTGCTGGGGGATGCGGATGAGGGAGGGCAGGGAGGGGAGAACCCTTTGCAGTAGATACTCATGTGCTCTTGCTATCAAACCCGCTTGCTCAATTTGGAGGACAACCAGTTGCTTTCTAATAGCCTGAAAGTAACCCTTAATATCTCGAGATAACATTTTCCTTCCAGCTCCTGCTCTCAGATGCTGCGTGTCCCCAGTGCCTCGAAGCAGACGTCTCCCCTGCACTGTTGCGCTGTGTTTCAAACCCAGCCCTGCTGCTTATCCACTTTGCACTTTGCTTATCCACTGCTTGGAACAACAAAATAAAGCCCTTCTGGCCTCAAAGCTAAGCCCCCGCAGGGCACAGAGCCCTCTCCAGGGGGAGGAGGTCCTGCCAAACCTCAGTACGCTGCTTAAATCAATGCAGAGACACTAAACGTGCACCAAATACACTGGATTAGTAGCTCTCACCATCCCGGAGCTGCTCCTGAATAGGGATCATGGTGCATCTTTTGAAGAGTTTTTTTTATGGGCACGTAACACTGGAAAGGGCTGAATTGGGCTGGGAAAAATCAGATCTAAACTGAAAATTAGCTGTAAACTGAACGTCTTGGATGATGCTTTGGGAAAATGTGTCGTAGCCACTTCTTTTTACCCACTGATGGTTTATAACCAGTAAAATACCCTTCTTGCTGCTTCAGCACCCGACTGCTGGTAGTTAACTCCGCTGGCGCAAAGCGAGCCCGGTGCAAGTAGTTGCTATTTTTGTACATATTTTTTGATACTATTTCATCTGATGCGTGTTGTCCTTTGGAATAAAGAGCGCGGAGTCTTTATTAAAAACAAGCTGCCTCTGTGGGGTTCTTGCCCTGGGTTTGGGGTTTCTTTTGACCCTGTTTCTGACCACGGGTGTCCCACCAGTGAGCCACTGTTGCACTCAAGTGAGTTCTGGCAATGAATTGTCATAAGCATCAGCTCACAAGGTGGGAAATCATCATTCATCGCTGTTTCTAACATCCTTTGCACAGGCTGCACTCATGCAGCCAAGTATAGAGTGTCTGAGCATCCTCTAATCCCATTTACCACCTGATGAACGTGAAACAAGCAACTACTTCCCAAAAGTAAGAGCTTATATAGTGAAGTAGTTTCTTTATCACCCCAAAATTACCCTTAATCCCACAGTTTAAGCACAATCCCAGTGGCCTCTGGAGTTTTGCACTACAAGCACTGCCCCTGAATTCCACTCCTGCAACCACACCAGCACAACCAGGGCAGTGCTGGGTTCCATAGGACCATAAGAAGGAGAAGCCATCCCGGGAGCTGTTGGTGTGAATGTTTCCCCTCGTACAGAGGCGGAGAGGGACCAACCTTGGGCACACACTCCCTCCCTTCTGCTGTTGGCAGCAGCAGCTTTTCCCGAATGGAAAGCAAAGTGCAGTAACTACCAATGCACCGACCTTGACAAGCTTTAAAGAGAAAAAAAATCAAAGCCAAAGCAAGCATTAAGATGGCAAAACGAGCAGGTTCTGGGTCAGACACTGGTGCTGGTTAGAGGCAGGGATGCTGGCAGCAGCTCCAGCTCCTTTGCAGCCTCTGCCATGGAGAAACATCTTGGCTGTGTCCTCCCCGCAGCAAGCACTGCCCTCCCTCCTCTCCTTTCCAACCCTTCTCTCTACAACCCCAAGTGGTTTCTTTATGGGCAGAAGATCGACTTCCAGTCAGGTTTTCCTTCTCTTCTTCAAGCACAAAGCACGAGGACAAAAAGGAAGGGCTGTGCCATTTGGATAACCAAACCATCGCAGAGTGTTACAGCATTAATCACAGTGGGAATGACACACCAGGCTTTCGCGGTGATAAATAGCCCCTTGATTCATAAAGAAAAGAAAAATCCCCCCCTAACTATGGAGACTTGCAGTTTTAATGAGCCTTAACAAAGGAGGACTCCTGTTTGTACACAACTAGAAACAGAAAGCATCATTTAATGCCTGTCAATTAGTGTCACGCTCCGCCGCTAATGCATCCATCAAGATTAAATAGCTTCTAATGCTGACATAACATTTACACTGCTTTGTGCCAAATCATTTATTTCAAGCTAGGAAAAAAAAAAAAGGAAGGAAAGAAAGAAAGAAAAAAGGCTGCGTTTGGGTAATGTAACTGTTGACTAACATTTGCATGCAGTAAACCACATACTTGGCAAGGACTCGCAGGGCTCGGGCCAAGAAAAATCTTCAGCTTGACCTACACAACATTTGCAAAGCAGAGCAGTGGGAACAAGTTTGCTACATGGAGCTAAATAGGGGATGGAAAATGCAAGGACACTCAAAGGCTGGCCTGCATCAGGCTGGTGTTTCCCCCTGGTTTTGGTATCAGTTAGTACAAAGGTGCTTTGGAGGGAAATGCAGAGAAGCTTTCAGCAATGAGCACGGGGATGCACCTTTTGGGGCATGTGGATGCTTCCCAGGAAAGAGGCAAACTAAGCCATAAAGCACAAGGAATTAGGGCTCTTAAACCCCCTGAGGACTTCCAGTATTCACTATTCTTATAGTAGATGCTCTTGTCACCCACAGAAATGCTTTATCCCCTTCTAACACAGCTAGAACCTCTGTGGCAAGGCCATCCTGTGACAGGGAGTCCTATGGCCCATTTCGAGCCCCTGGACCACTTGGTGCTTCCCCCTGCTCCTTGCGCCACCCTGGCAGCAGCAACGCCAAAGGGGGGACAGGGAAAAGCTGAGAGGCAGAGTCATCAAGGCAGATTTTCACCATGATCGGCAG